GAGGCAGCGAAGAAGAAGAAACAGAGAGGGAAATGGGGAGCGCGGTGGGGCACGGCGCAGAGAGTGAGGGCAGGGAGAGGGAGGGAAGAAAAAGGCGGCAGCCCGCTAAGTTCACGCAGCAGCGCCCCGCAGCCGCACGAAAATAAATTCATTCCGCCCCCGCCCCACGCAGACGTCTTTGGCGGTGCCAGGGCATTTGGGAGAAACACAACGTGAACCTAAAAAACAGTGCTGCCGCGAGGCACCACGGGGCACGGCGCCTCCTTCTCCCCGCAGCAGCGCCGCCCGCCGGCTGTGCCCCGTGCCCGCAGGCAAATAAACACAAACACACAAATATATTTTTTAAAAAATAGTCCCTTCAAGCACTTCGGTAGAAACGCAGTCCGCTGCTGCACTCCGCTGCTCACTTCCCCCCCAACGCCGCCGCCCAAATCAACGGAATTGCGGCACATCCGCGCCGCGTGCGTCTTGGAGTGTTCTCCCTGCACGCCGCACGCAAACAACACCCCCACCAACACCCATCGGCAACAGTTTTCCCAACCGTTAAAAATATACACCTCGTCCTTCACTCGCTGGGCCGCTGCCTCGCCGCGCTGGCAGTAGTGTTGTGCTGCGCATCCGCCGCTGCAAACCGCAGCCAAACAAATTCCTCCCCCGCCGGGAACCCAAAAAACGATAAAAAAAGGAGGCGCCCAAGAGCAGAGCGTCTTCGGCCGCCGCTCCCGCGCAACTCCCCGCACGTTGCGTCCGTCCACCCTCTCAGCCTGAAGGCTCCTGCGGCGCCCACATCTCCAAGCCCCTCCCCGGGACGCGACGCCAGGCCCGCCCGCAACACGCAGCGCTTTGCCTGCCGTCCCGTTGGCGGCCGCAGCCCCGCGAGCCCCTCCCTCTTTTTTCTGCCGCACCCGCAAAAGGCCCTCCTCCCCCAGCGTGTGTGCGTGTGGGTCCGGGGCACGCGGCTTCTGGAGCTTTTCAGGAAGGCGAGCGGCACGCCGTAACCGCGAGAGGCACTCGCTGGGGCCCAGAACCACTCAAACAAACGTGTCCCCATTCGAAGATCAAAGAGGCAACACACATTTGTGTAGCGCACGGCCTCCGCACCGTGTGCGCCACACTCCCGCTCAATCCTCACAGCCCTCCGAAACGGATTCCCCGCACCCCACAGTTTCGCGCCTTCCCGAGCACAGTCGTCTTCGGCAACCGGGGCATCAGTCGCCCGCACGGCGCCGTCACCCGCCGCAGTGCGCCCATCGAACGCAGCCGCACTGAAGATGCCACGCGGCAGCGGGCCGACAAGCTGCATGCGACCCGCGACCGCCTCCCACTACTTCTTTTGCTCCTGCGCGGGATGATGGCGCGCGTCCGCCGGGCACACGTCGCCTTCGCCTCCTTCTCGTCGCGGCAGCGCATGGTGGGGGGAGGCAGAGATGCAGTCGCATCGCCAGTGCTCTCGAGTTATTTCCCTTTGCGGACGCCAACACGCAATCATGCCCCACCCACAAGGCCGTAAGTTTACCCACGGCAGCGGTGCTCCTTCCTCTGGCGCATCGTAGACAATACACACCCTCTTGCCCGCCACGACAAGTCGCTCACACGCCCTCGGACCTCGAGCTCGCCCTCGTGCCCTGTCGCCGTTTGCGTGGCCGCGCTGAACACTTCCGCCAACTCGCCTCCGAGGCAGCAGAGAACAAAGTGGAGCGGGCACTCATCGCGGTGCAGCGACCGGTGGAGGGGGTAGGGGCCGGCACTCGTCCACCACCGAGGCCGCCATCCCCGGGCGCCCCACTCAAGACACTCCGCCTCACCTCAAACACTTCTGGCCCTTTGGTGCGAAGCGCCCCGCCCCAATCGCCCTCGACAACCCGCCACACCCGCCCCACCGCAGAGTGAACGCAGCAGCCAGCAATGTTCTCCCCCTCCCTCAGCGGGCACGGCCAGCCCTCCGCGGCGGCGAGTCCCGTCAGGCCGGGACGCGGCGCACGAAGCTGCTCAACGCTGCCCTGCAGTGAAGAAGTTGTCCCCTGCGCCGTGCACGTCCCCGACTGCGTTGGTGAGTGTGTGGCCCCGTTCCACCGCCGTCCGCACCGCCATTTCCCTCCCTTCAGCCGCAGGAAACCCCAAGACGTGGCTCCACTTCGCGTTGAGCACAAACTCGCACACTCCCCTCCACCGTGCGGTCAAGGGCTCACTGTGGCCGCGGCGGTGCCTCCTCCGCCCTTCCGCGCTGCGCTGCGGGCTGCCGAGTGCCGCCGGCGGGCCCCAACCTCCACCGACGCCGTCCCTGCAGCGCAGCACATGCAAAGCGCCCCGCAGCAGCGCTAACTCCTTCCTCGCGTCTCCCAGGCATTGCTCACATGAGTTCCTTCCTTCGCAGCTGTCGTTGGCTTGCGCTGCGGCTGAACACCCACCAGCCAAAGGGGAATGAGAGGGATAAAAAAAATGTGCACAGGCACACGAGTCCACGCAGCCACATTCAGCAGGAGAAAGAGAGAGGAAGAGAGAGAGGGCCACCACCCGCACGTTATGGCACACGCATACACATCACACATCAGCAGCCCGCGCAATGGGTGCAGTCAGCCAACAAACACACAAAACAAAATAAACAAACCCGTGAAGTGAGGCCGAAGCGTGGGGCGCGTCCACCGAGCAGTGGGGACGCGCAGCAACACGTGGGACGACCAGGACACACACTCCATCTCTCTGTTTCCACACAGCCCAATCCAGGAAGAGATAAAAAGGGAAAGCAAGAGGTAGCAAAAAAAGAAAACGAAAAAGCCCATGTGTATTGAATGCGTCAGCAGAGGCAGTCGTCCCTGTCCCGTGGCGGAACAGTCACCGACCCGTCCTCGCCCCCTTCAGAGTGCAGTGACTTCCCCTTCTCCCCGCCCTCAGCACCAGACGCGTATATATATATTTATACGATGCCGGGATTTGTCTTGTTCATTACACATTTTTTATTTTGTGCCCCCACACAGTTTCCACGCAAAGCAAGTCCGCCCAACACACAGATATCGGTTTTGCGGCCACTGGCAAGCAAAGCAAAGCAAAGCAAAGTTGTTATCTTCCGTCCTTCAAAAAGCAAACAAGGGGAGCGCAGTGAGTGTGTGCATTGTATTATTACTTCTACTACTGCTTCACTGCGGCCTGAGTGCGGGGCTCCACGGGGGGCACACAGGTGTGTGTGTGTATATTCATTATTCCCCCGCCGCAATTTGTTGGCTCCCGGCCGCAGTTCCTGCCGCGGCTCAAGACGGCAGCATCGCCACCGCGGCCGCGGCGGCCACGGCGAGCAGCACAAAGTGACTGCAGCCAACAGCCGCAGCAGCCGCACCGACGTCGCTTCCGACTTGCTGCGCCGCCCCGTCAAGTTTCTTTAGCACGGCGCTGCCGTTGACGGATGCCGCCGGTGCCGGGGTGGGCGGCGCAGGCACATCGGAAGCCGCAGCAGCTGCTCCCGCCGCCGCCGCCGGACTGGAAGAATCTCCACCCGCAGCCCCGGCAGGGGCCCCCGCACCGGGCGACTCAAGTGCCGCGCCCTTCGCCTGCTCGGCTCCACTCAACACGCGCGGAACAACGAGGCTGCTGCCGTTGGCGGCGATGGTGCACACCTCCTCGTACTTCGGGCACTTGATCTTCGCGCCCTCCTCGAAGTGCTCCGACGCCGTCAATTCGATTGCTTCTCCCTCGGGGCACGGCACATACTCAGCGGCGCCGAAGTACTTCACCTTCACCGTGCCGCCCTCCCCGCACTGCACCTCCGCACACAGCGCGTGTAATTTG